CATAGCTAGTATGCCCAATTTGAATCTGCAACTTTCCAAATTCCAACTTCAAACTTTGAAGAGTTCTCTAGTCTAGAAGAGTGGAAAACGTTAATTCATTCCTTTCCAAAATATAATCCCATTATTCTAGGTAAGTAATTAAGTATAAATATTTTTAATGTTTTTTTATGGTGCTTAATTAAGGGCCTTATTATACTATTCGACTCACACCAAAAAAATCCTAAGATCGGCCCTGCCTGCGGATGGTTGACGTCGATCAAGGGGAAGTCGATCAAGGGGTTGGGGCTAGCGTCAACTTTCAAAAAGTCATCTATTAGCCTTCTGTTAGCAAACTCAGTCGTATTAACGTGTTAATCTAATGGGTGTAGTCAATTAACACTAAAAAATCGAGTTTGTGTACTTAAACGGATCTAATGCAATATGGTGTACTCTTTACTCCATCTCATACAAATTTATGTATTCAATTGACCTTTACCTCAATAATCAAATAATAACCAAAAGAATAACAATAACACTTAATTTTACGATAAAGACACGCTGCTGATAAACGGCAACCACTATCATTTGATCTTAGTTTGTTTTTGCCATGGTGAGACTTTTGTTTACCATATCCGTATAGTCATTCTCTTTCATGATTTTGGATGTGAAACCAATATTTATTACTTCAAATTTCAACCATCTTTCTTATGTAAGACTACAGAATTAAAATCGCAATCTTTATCAAGCTCACGAAACTTCCCTCGATCAATTGATGGAATTGACCCTCTAATCGGGACATTAGGCTTCTTTGATACTATTAGGAATCCCTATTTAGTTTTCTCGCTTTCTACTGCATGCATATCAGGTTTATTTGTTACATTTAACTTCTTGAAATGCGCTTTTACCCATGGGCAAATTTTGCGGTAAAGTGCATCGTTTTGACACTGTTTGGTCGTGTTTTACATTGTTTTACACTCATTATTTAAATATAGTAGAGTAAGTTGGTATGAATTTATTTATCAAACAGGAAATGTGGACTTTATATAGGGACATTCATAAAATGAAAGTGGTTAAGGGCACATTTGTAACCCCCAATCTCATACTCTTAGTTCATATGTAGTTGCTCCTAATTTCGTTCTGTCTAGTATTGCTGGGGTGTAGCTCAACTGGTTGATATGGACTGACACAAAAGGTAAGTATTGAGTTCCATTCTCGACAACTGTGATGAAGGGTTACTATATATGTAAAAATGCGTAAGGTTTATGCATGTACCTGGGCCAGAACCACATCCACTATCTATCAACTTGTGATTAAAATTTAATTTACATATATCTTCCCAATAAATTATCCGATCGGTACTGGAAGTTCAGGGATAGGGTGTCAATGTGTCGTCATTTTCTATGTCTAGTACTATCTCCACTAACTTATACAAGTACTACGTACATATTTTTGAGTTGCACACTTGCATCCATCGATCGAAGGAAGTTTTGGAAAATTTCCCTCATTAGTATCTACTGGTCTCCACTCTATGGAATAGGATTATAGAACTATATATAAAAGAGTCACTTCACTTGTTAGGCGGCAACATCACTTTTAATTTATGCATTTAGCATATACAGAGTATAGCTTATTGCTAGTTTTACTCGATGGAGCATTATGGTTTAGGCCCTACTGATTTAACTATTGATTCTATTAACTGATCATGCTTATCTTAGCTTACTACTCCGTATTTCCTTTGAGCCTTTGTACTCACTTTTATACTCACTCTTATACACAATCATGTGAATGCTTTTTTCCTGTGAATCATGTTCACAAACAAATATGTCTTATGTATGAATGTGAAAATATCATTTTTCTTAATAGATAGACAAAATTCATTAAAATACATCCCACTTTCAGGTATTCTTTAATAACAATCTCTACTCGGAGGGTTAATAAAAACAATCCGAACTCGCAATGGTGTCTACAAGAATAAATTGGGGCCCCGGGGTTGTGAGTATCAAACGTGAATTAGTTTGAATTCACGCGATTTATTCTTATGAACATTATTGTTAATTCTGATTATTATTGTAGAATCCTCAAAAGTGAGATTATTCTTATCAATTTTGTCTGATAAGTATTATACTCGTAACAATCATCTTCATTAAAAAACAATCATCACTTATAATGAAAGTATATACTCCGTATGTAACATTGTGGTGGCACATTACATGACATATTTCTATTGTGTACAAACCTTCCTTTAACATCAACTTATTGATTTATATATTAGTTTACTCCCTCTGTCTCATTTTGATTGTCTTACTTTCTTTTTTCGATTGTTCCAAAATGGATGTTATGTTTCTCTTTTTGGTAAGATATTTGTGGTTCATATCATTTCACTTCATTTTACTCAAATCTCAACCACAACTTTTACTTTTCAACCACTTTTAATAACCGTGCCAAATTGAAATAAAACAACCATTATGGGACAGAATTGAAACAGTTGTTGAATAAATAGTTGAACACACCCTCGATCTAAATTGAGGTGGACAACTTAAAAGTGGGTCAATGAGCAAAACAGCTACTTAATAGGCTATCTGAATTCCCAACAAATAATCATCAATCATCATAGTTTTTACAACTTCGACGTATGACCAATGACGTAATTTTTACAACGGGAACACTTTCGCTCAACGTAATTTTATAGTTTCGCACCACTTTCCTCAATAAATCCTCTACTTCCAATAGGTAAAAAAAAAAGGAAAAGTTCCCGAAATAAGACTAAAACAGTTTGAAAATTTCAAAATAGGACTGTCATGTTTTGGATTCTCAAAATAGGAGTAATTACTGCCAAGTTTAGAAAATAGTGCCATGTTTGAAGTCTGGTACTGCCAAAACATGACAGTAATTAGTCCTATTTTGGGAATAAAAACATGACAGTCATATTTTGGATTTTTGAAACCTTTTTAGTCCTATTTCGGATAATATACGTTACCCCATCAAATATGTTACGTTGCCTCAATGAATATGGATTGCCTCAAATAACTTTTTATATTACTAAATCAACCGACCACAAATGTGTATTATTTGAAGCAAATATAGTTGAGCCAAACCAAGCAATAAAAAATCTAAGAAAATAAAATACACCGTAGCATGTTGATAGTTGAATCGAAAATGTAATATGGGATTGATTTTCGATCAAAGAGAAATAGTAACTACAAATTGATAGCCTAAAAGGAAAATTGAAAAGGTTAATTTTTAGGTAATTAGAAGGGGAAAGTTCACAAAGTTATCAGAAATGGAGATAATATTAGATTATTATTTTTATTCAAAACCGGTGTGTATTTATTGATAGTTGAATAGTTCAAGGTTTTCTATAAAAGTTTATTGTTTCTTATATTTAATCGATAGATATGGGATGTGTTGAGAATATAATGTACACAAAAATGAAATTATTACTAATAAGAATTGATGAGCCATGCACATATACGAAGTTAATGAATCTAAATGACACTCAAACAATAAAATACTAAACCATTTTTCAATATCGAGTACTCAAAAAATCAGAAATGACAGGATTAAGATGTATAATTTTGTGTATAAAATTAGTATTTTTAAATTTACTAAATGTGTATTTTTTTTACTATATGTGAGTCTCAAACTAACAATAGAGACACACAAAATTGTTAGACGGCCGTGCACATATACAAGTATAAATTCAAGATACTCGAGCAATAAATTGTTACACCGTTTCTCGGTATTATATATGCGTGTATATACTATATAGTTTCAGTGTATATATTTAAAGTTACATAATGATGTCCATGAGAAGATGACTATGAGTGTGCATAAAAAATATAACATCAATCCATCGTAGTTTCTACTCCGAGCTCTCCGATTATCTACTACTAGCATAGGTAATTCTGTATAATCAACAAAAAATACATGTGATATTTTCACTTTTAATATAAAAAAAAAATACTACGTATCAAATAACAAAATCAAATCTTGATTGGTTCATTTGAATATTTGGTTTAGTGAAAGTTAATTAGCATCATTGGTTATTTTAGCACAAAGTAGTTAAGAACTTAAGATAGATGTACGCATGCATATGTGGGTGTAAATTAAAGGTTAAATAGTAATAACATCATTTCTAATTTACGGGAATCATCAGTCCAACTTTAGTTTGAACTTTTTATCATAAAATTATTAATCCAAAAAATATCATTAGTTAGAACTAAATTTCTTTTGGAAGAAGACTCATGTGAAGTCGCTTTTTTTCATCGTTAACATTTAGGAAAAATTGAAAATAATAATCTCAACTATTACCGATCCGTCGTTAATAATCTCAACTATCAATTATTCATGGGTGGTCCCAATTATACGGACTATTTTTCAAAAATGATCCCAAGCTTGTTACAACCTCATAGTAGGTCACTTTTAAATGTGAACTATGTGCAAGGTTTAAATAATCCCAACTAGTGCTGGACTCGGACCGGTTCGGGCGCGGTCTGGGCCTAGGCCCGCCCGGGCCGCCGGTTAGGAAATGTTGGGCCCGGGACTGGCCCGGGTAGCCACCGGGCCGGGCCTCAGGCCTATTACAATTTTTTTTCTTTATTCTAATTACCCCCGACCCCCCCTAACCCCCAACCCCCCAAACCACCCCCAAATGGCCCAAAATACCCAGCCCAACCCGGGGATTTAAAAAAAAGTTGGAAAAAAAATAAGCCCGGAACCAGGCCCGGACCGGCTGGGCCGATTCATGTTTTGGGTGACCCGAGCCCGGCCCGGAAACCCCTCGGGTCAGGCCTACCCGGACCGGTCACTGGCCGGGCCACCGGTTCGGGCCGGGCCGGAACAGTGTCGGTTCCGGGTCAGGCCACCCGGCCTAAGTCCGCCACTAATCCCAACTATAGTTGACCTTTTTTTATTAATCCCAGCTATCAACTCTCAATTTCTAGAAGAAATAGAAATATTTTTATAAATTTCCAAACTAAATATTTTTAAGCAAGATCAATTACGATCATTATACAAATGTACCGAAAATAAATAAATAAATTTAGTCAAGTGTTTTTTGATGAAATGCGGTGATACGGTTGTTGACCATATCAAAATACTTCAATTGTGGTTCAGAACACCCTTAGACACTGTTATCTTCTAATCAATACCATATGGAGTAAGAAGGAAGCTAGATATTGCAAAAGTTTGTGCACAGTAATAGGCAAAAATTGTACCAGACTACCAGTCATGAGAAAATATAATCCATTCTAAAGCCAAAAGTTTGACCCTCAAAAGAGGCATGGTATAAAGTAAGCAAAGCCAAAAGTTTGACCCTCAAAGAGGCATGGTATAAAGTAAGCAACTCTGATTTCAGAGGGCATCAGCTTCACCTTTCTTTGATAGAGCGATCACGTTGAAGTTGTTGGATTCGGGATTTTTCTCTATCATCTTTTGAATGACTTTAGCTGAATCCTGGACATTTCATTTGGGTACATTTTTATCAAGAGGAAATGCGACATGAAAAGATTTGATTAAACTCAACAGTCAACACTGCCATCTTTTACCTGCAGTAATGTGTCTGGAGATGATTTTCCATGTGAAATCGGTCCGGATCTTCTTCCATCAAGTTCATATAGTTGTTCTGCAAAGGCATGCGTTATATATCCATCAATGTTTGCATCCAAGAAATAGAGATGGAAGCTAATGGCATTCAAACAATTCAGTTTTAAGAGGCTACTAAAAGAAATGATGGTTTTTCCTCCACATGTGCATGAAAATTTTCCCATTCAATGGGGAAATATGGGCACCAGGGTTGGATACTAAGACAATATACAGATCAAAAATGATGTTTGTACCCACTATTATACCCACTTTTGTACCCACCTATGTTTGTGAAGTGTTTTATTTTTGTCTGTGAATCCTGGTTCACAGACAATATTTTGCACAAACAAAATATTGTCTGTGAATCGGGTTCACAGACAAAAAAAACACTTCACAAACATGGTGGGTATAAGGTGGGTATAAGAGTGGGTACATCAAGCATTGTTGATATACAGATTACACGTAACATGATGCAAAGGTACTATATATGCACAGCATAATTGAAGCAATATATCAGCCTCACAAAATTTGAGCATGTCAATGCAAAGGGAGGATTATATTTTGACGTGAATAAAAGAACACCTCATGAACTCATAGCTTAAAAGGAAACTATTTCCCACTAAATAGACCAATAGAAAAGAGATTGTACCATCAGCAATTGCAAAGCAGATGAAGTGTGTGTCCACATTATCTGATGCCTGTAGGGTCAACTTGTCAGCTCTAAAAGCAAAACTCAAAAGGCATATAGAAACCATTTCTATTACATTGCACTACTCATTCAATCTAACATACAACAACAACATCCAAGCCATAGTCCCAAAACAGTTTGGGATCGGCTAAAATGAATCGACATAAGAAATTGGAGTTAAGAAGATAAAAAGATAAGATAAGGTAAAAAAGATTGAAATGATAAGATAAGGATCCAATCTAACATATAATCATTAAAAAATTGAACTGGTTTGGTACGTTGCACTTACTCATTGAAGCTTATTAGGGCATCTTGTTAAACATATACGAAGTAATTAGTAAACAAAATGCTCCGTTTATAATCCATTGGTACACCACCATAGCATTTCGAAGTTAGTGGTATATAGTAATTCGTGGATATAACTCATTGCACAAAAATGTCTGATAATAAAACGACAGTTATCAGGAGGGTCGTAAGCAAGTGTAAAGCAGTATGCAACATGGATATATACAATTTAGTTAAAGAAAAAAACAAGTAGAATGTAAGATCCATGGTTTATGGTTGTTGTACCTTGCTGAAATTTAAAAGCTGTTTCTTGGTCAAACAAGGCTCTTTTGCGGATAGAGATAGTACTTCATATTTCGCATTTATAAACTTGAGCAAACTTTATGAAAGCGTATTGGCTCAAGTGGTTAAGGATAGGTCTTGTAAACCTTCCCCCCCCCCCCCACCCCCCACCCAAGAAAATGAAAGAGAAGTTTGAATAATTTGATAGAAGCAAGCAAATTCCAGCACTGACCTCAGTATCTCCAGCAGTAGCAGCTACAGAATGTGCATCTTCCATTTCCACATCGCTCTCAAGAAATTGGGCCCGCTGCACAATTATGCGAGCACGAATTAGAATGTTGGTATATGCATGTGGTGTTTCAACCATTTACCATTGATAATGAAGAACATAGATACCTCCAATGGATCCATGTTTGCAGTGGATTTAAAGAACCTATCGAAGAACGACCCTTCAACTGTAAAAGGTTCTCAAAAAATAGCAAAACTCTTATTCAAACAAAAATAGTAAATATGTATTTCAAAGTGTCTTCACTATTCAGTTTCCCATAGCACTGAGCCTATGTTTTGACTTTCTATTTTCACGAAAGCAAATTCCATCAACCATGAAACTGAATACCATCACCTTCATAAATAAATTCAAGAAACTTGGTTTAAAATGGGATGCTAACTAAACATACAGCAACACACTTGTCACTTGCCCAAATTTAATTGAGACCCTACTCACTACCAATAAGCAGCAGAGCTCAAGTGCCGATTTGAGATGCTAAAATTGAAAAGAATTATGTGGTAAACATGTCATTGCGAAGCTCATATTCGTATAATGATTTGTTCATATTAGTGCTACTGTTATGTACTTCCTTTGTCCTGAAAAGAGCATCTAGGTTTCCTTTTTTATCCGTCCCAAAGTGATCTTCTCACTTTCTTTTAAGGAAAGAAATGTGTGGCTGCGTGGTTTGATAATTTATTCTTGTATGGAAATTAAAGTACTTCATGACTCCTCTTAATGTTTGACATGGTTAAAGTAAGAGGTATTTTGAAGTCTTAAAGGAGGGTGTCCTGATTAGTTTCTGATTCTATGGATTACAATAAAAGTCCAGCGAAAGGAATAGACCAAATAAAGTTGCACAAGAAGTTGATTATCTAGAGAGAATGACTTCCCCAAGTTCTCCCGGAAGCCAATACAAATTAGGGAAAATTCCCTAAATAGGAGTAAAAACGTTTTGAAATTCCAAAATAGGATTGTCATGTTTTTATTCCCTTAATTGGAGTAATTTCTGCCAAATTTGAAAAAAAACTGCCATGCTAAAAGCCTAGTAATGCCAAACTTGGCAGAAATTACTCCTATTTAGGGGAATAAAAACATGAAATTCCTATTTTGGAATTTCAAAACGTTTTTACTCCTATTCAGGGCAATTTCTATAAAAATTAACAGGGGTTGATTTTTTTAAATATGATAGACTCCAAGGAACGCATGGATACGCAATATTCAAAAACTTTTTTCAGGAAAGCATGAGCTCCTTGCTCAAATATAAAAGGAATTTTAATAGGCATTATTGATAGCACACGAAAGCAGACATTTTTTTTCGTACTCCATTGGGTTTAGTTTAAACCATGTAAGATCATTTAATAGATATTCAGTAACATTTAGGTAACTTTAAGCAAAAGTTACCTAAATGTCCTCAGCTCAATAGTCTACCTGGTGCCCTGATGGTTCTGTCCCTGACTCCCTGGCCTGCCTTTTAATATGTTTTAAAAATTAGACTAGCTGAGCTAATGAGTGATGTTGCAGTTTTCCACTTGTAAGAATTCTAGTTAATGTAATCAATAAAACGGCTATAGAAACATGTACTAACACTATGAAGCAAAGCCATGGTGACTTACCAAGCTTTATCTTTGAAGTGATATTACCAACAGCATGGAGAAGGGCAATTGTCCCACATGCATTTCCCACTGTTTGTTTCATGAAGAAAACTCCATTACTAATATCCTACAAATACAATCATGAATACAGTTCCGATTGGACTCTTGTAAGCTATGTGGTCAGATACAATGACAATAATCAAATGATCATAATGTTCACCTTTATCTTGCTGTCTTCCTGTATTCTCTCTTCTTCACTCTGAAAACACACCCAGAATGAATTGCTGAGCCAACCAGTCCCATAAACGGCCAAAAGCACATCACTAAAGAGCTTAGTCTACAAATATGAACCTGAGAAGTGATAGGATACAGAAAGAGAACTGCCAAAACTGGCTTAGGGACCATATCGAGAAGCTCCACATCCAAGCCATAAACATCACAGCACTCGGCCTGATCCTCTGGAACACCAAGACCCCAAATGAACTGCTCAATCACATAAACATACCAAATATTTAGTGCATTTGGTATATGTGCTCTCTCACGCAGAAAAAGTCAACACATATCTTTTGTTTAGCATTTCACAGGACAATCCAATGAATTCCAATATCGCTATCAACAACATCGCTATCAAAGGATAAACCTCATTCAAGAGAAACAAAATAAATTCTCACAAAAATTATTGTTCCCAACAACGTGAAAGATCCACTAGCACAGGAGATCAGAATTAAGAACAAAAATGAAAAGACACGATTACGCACTCGAAGGACAGAGATGGTGGATAAATGACACTGAGGAGGCATAACGAGGAGGGGTAGCCTAACCTGATTCATGACATCGGGGTTAGCTTCGAGAGGAAGCCATCTCTTGGGTGCTGAAGTTGCCATTGTTGTTTATCTATCTCTGGATTTCGCTCGCTATCTTTTATGGGAGATTAGGGCGGGGGATTGCGTACTGCACTGGAAAAAGAACCTCGCGCAGGTAATGAGAATTTCTTGACGTGGATGGGTTGGTTACTCAATTACAGCATCACCTATCTATCAGGTATGTAACCTACTAGGCAAATTATGTTAAAGATTGTATTGATATTTGGTCTATTTAAGTCTCATTTGGTTTGAACTGATCTGATCCGATAAATGTATGGTTTATGTATATTTTATAACTTTGAAAGTCTGGTCTGATTTGGTTCATTTAAGTCTAGTCTAGTTTGATCTAGGATTGAAAACATTCACAGTAAAAACATCTTAAATAAGGATGCCAATCGATAGCTCATAAAATTTTCAAAGTGATTTTTGTTCATTTATTGAGTGAATTTTAATTATTCTTTTACTGTGCTTGAATAAAGTATTGACTAGGTATCATTTATTTTGCATTTTATGTAGTAGTTCGCTTTTTTGAATTTATTTAAATAATTTTGGGAAAAGGTGCAAATAGGCCCATGTACTAACAAAAAAAGGTCAAATAAGCCCTTATATATGAGGCTCTGTCCGGTCGTCGTCATTTGGGGTGGTTCCCGGTGGAATTTTTTGATGAAATTTTTTGAGCATCTTATTCATCAAGTCTAGTTTACTCATACTAAATTTCAGCTAAAACTTCAATCAGGAAGGCATTCAAATGAATTCTTGAAGATAAATGTGCTTCTAACTGCGCAGTTATTTACAAGAATTCATTTGAATGCTTTCCCGATTGAAGTTTTAGCTGAAATTTAATATGAGTAAATTAGACTTAATGAATAAGATGCTCAAAAAATTTCATCAAAAAATTCCACCGGGAACCATTCCAAATGGCGACGGCCGGACAGAGCCTCCTAAATAAGGGCTTATTTGACCTTTTTTTGTTAGTACATGGGCCTATTTGCATCTTTTCCCAATAATTTTTTACTACTTCCGGATGAGTACAAAAGTGAGTTTTATGTCATATCCACACATGAGTATAATATTTACAAGGAATATATATCGACAAACATGTTTTAAGATTAGCCCCATTATGTCTGATCATTCAAATGAGTTTTCATTATAAATAATGAGTATGACTAGTGTTTTATACTCACTGAGGAAACGGTCCAGCCCAGCTGGTCGCCGACTCACTCTCCCTTACGGGAGGTATCGGGTTCAAAACTCAATGGAGTGAGTTTCAACCCCAATTACTCCAGGCTCCCCCAGCCCCCTCCCCCATACGCCCCCTGGAGTTAAAAAAAACTCACGCGTTCCCCGGGCAGATGTTTAAAATGTTTGAATACTTTGTAAGATATATATTTTATACAATATATACATAATTCATCATTTTACTTCAAATAACGTTGTTTGTTGTGGATGGTAGTTTAATTTTCAATAGAATGTATTAAAAAGTGACATTGTAATTTAACACCACACACACAAAACATCACAATATTGTTTGGAAACCTCTTTCTAAACAATATTCTCTATCTTGGAAAAGAAATTTGTTTCTTTTAAACGTATGAATATCTTAAGGTGTCTTTGTTCATTACCCTTGATATTGCAATGTACAGTTGATCATTATTGAAACTTATATCGGATCTTGAGGCAGTGGCGGATCTGGCTCTAGGTCAGGTAGGGCCTAGGCCCACCTAAATAAAATACTAGTGTATGTATGTATTATACTATATGTAGTGTTGTTAAATAATACTATGTAGTATAAATACAAAAGAAGTGAATTTGAGAATAAATTCCGTGTTAGCAAGATGGAAGAACACTGCTTTGTTGCCCTGCACGTCTGACGAGCACTTTGTCACGGTGCGTCAAAATAAATTCAATACTAAAACTAATACGTAGTATAGGTGAAGTAGAGTTCGTATCCACAGGGAAATGAATAATTCTTTTTTTTAGTAAAACTAGTAAATAAGGGGGGGTTGGGATTGAGTGATTTAATTTAATTAAATACGAAGATGAACGACTTATATGAGATTTAATTCAAAGATAAAAAGGACTTGGCATTGCTACTTTCCACTTGTTGATATATTTTAGTCAGTTATTGTTATATCTATAACTTATCCCCTCTCGAATACTCAATCGAGGAGTATATCCAATTCATCGAGGGTAGTTATTAACAACGACCGTTCATTAATAACCCTTACTGTTAGTCAAGTATAGAACACCGCCATATACCGACTTGATAGTAGCATTTAATCTCTTAACTCCTTGATGAAATCAATTGAGATTGATAACCTCAACACAACGGCTTCGGTTTAACCAACAAAATTAATCTCTCTTAAGTTTATTAACCACGACCGTGCATTAATAAACTGAAGTTACTTACTTGTGAAACCATCAACGATTAACCATCGGTTCGTTGATCGATTCTAGTAATAATTAATACATGAAACAAAACTAGTTGATCCTTTAAGTAATGTTCAAAATATTAATATGAAATATGAATAGGAATTAATTAATACTCAAGGAAGAATATTAAAGAAGATGAATCCTACTATAGTTAATATCAAGATGTTAACTAATTGTCATCTTAATAACACTCCCCAATATTAACATAGAGGAAGAAATAACTATTACTATAACTAATGTCAAGATGTTAACTAATTGTCATCTTAGTAACACTCCCCAACATTGATATAGAAATAGTATTTAAAGGAAGAATTAATATTCAAGGAAAGAAGTTAAGAAAATAACTCACAACTTTAATAATCAACAAGCTTCAAGAGCAACTCCAAGAAATGGAAGTTTAGCTCCTCATTTGGAGACTAAACATGCTATAAAAATATAAAAGAAATACTATTCTAAGTTGAGCTTAAGAGTATGGAAGAAGGAGTGATAAATAGTGAAGGAAAAGTGTGCTATTTATAGGTGTTTTTCAACACCTTGGACCGGGTACCCAACCGGGTCAAGTGCCCACCCGACCGGGTGCATGTCAAGATCAGATAATCTTTCACGTTCTTGTGTTTCAGCACGTTAAAATGTCCCGGGTCAAATCCGACCCGACCGGGTGATGTAATTTCCTCAGCAGTTTCGCATTTCAAGTCTCACCCGACGGGGTGCAATGCCTCACCCGACCGGGTGATTGTCCTGGGCAGCCAATAATCATTTTTCTTCACTTCAAAGTCTTCCTTTCCAACACCATAAATCCTAACTCTACTTTACAACTTACAAATGAGAACTAAAATACAATTAAAACTCAAATCACACAAATGTTTACAAACTAAATAAAATGGTAAACAATCCACACAAATTAAACATAAAAAAAGATGCATTTATGCACTACTAATTAGTGCATATCAAACACCCCCACACTTGAACCTTTACTCGTCTCGAGTAAATGCAATCCAAGAAATCCTCAAATGATAGGATCATCAACACAACCATCACAAAGTGTTTTTAGAATCAAAATAACCACCAAGTATCCCCAACATACTAAAAAAAATACATCACGGAATCTTTAAATCCAATTTCCTCATGCAACGAACTCTCTTTAGTCATCACCCTTAGGATCCTGCAAGATCAAAAGAAATACTTTCTCTCATTTTCTCATTTTGCCTAGGTGCCCTTTCGGGTTTTCAACCCAGCTTTCCACATTTTTCTTTAATAAATCTCACAAACTCACTCTTATTTTTGCTTAAGCTGCCCTTTGTGGGTTTTCAACTTAACAAGCCTTTTTTTTAGATAGAAACAAGAATCAAGAGTATGAATGTGAGCATACCGGAAAGATCTCCCCCACCGCTAGTCCATGGCACAGTCCCTAGTGCCCGCCTGCATCTCCGCCATCATAGAATCCTCCATAGCCCTGGTAGCCCCTAAAGTGTATATCCTCATCCATGTGATCACCGCCGTATCCGTCATCCCCACCTCAACCACTAGAGCTCGAACCGCCAAAATAACCCCATTCAGTGGGGTTATACCATGAGGGTGCCGGAGGAGGAGGAGTCATAGCGGCAAAGTCACCCTGATGTGCTACATAGGAGTAGATAGGGCCAAAAGTCCTCCTCTGGTCCTCCTTATCTCTCCGCCGATCCTCTTCGTATCTCCGCCAATCCGCTTGCCTTTGCTCCTCGATCCTCTCATAGTTCTGCCTTTGCTCAGTTCTATACAACACAACTTCCTCCCAAAGTTGAGTGTAGTTGAGGTTTAGAGCATTCATGCTATTTAGCATTTCTTGCTCAAATGGTGAATATTGGTGAGCATTGAGTTGTGGTTGAGGTTGTTAAGGAATGAGGGGTGGTGGTTCATCTGCAGGCTGTTCTTGTTGGGGTTGTTCTTGTTGGTAGTGGAGTGGTATTCTCCCAGGGAGACAATAGTGGTGTCCATCACCAATTTGGTGATCCAAAAGGTCCAAAGGGAGGTCGGCTGAGGGTATTTGTGTATAAATGGCATGTGGTGGATCGATTAACCAATTATAGATATCTACCCCACCGGGTGTTTTATGAGAAAAAACAATATCTTTGGTATTTTTCAGGAGCCATGATGTGCAAACTAGCTGTGCTGAGGTAATGGGGCCTGAGTCTACGAAGCCATAGAGTGTAGCTAAATGTGTAATCAAGCCCCCTACCCTAATAGTTCATGTGGAAGTTGCCATTGTCTTGAAGTGATCCCATAGGATGGAGGCAACATCCACTTGATCCGGACCTGGTAAAACAGCTTGTCCAAGAATACAAACATCCCAAACCCGACTGTGATGGTTATTCGGTCTTCCGAGAAAACAGTTTGATAAAAATTTCAAGAAAATTCGGAAGACCGGATGTTGTACACGATTCACACTAAGGTGTCTGAGCTCCACATCCACTTGACCTGTCATCCTTTACCACATTTCCACACCCACAAAAGTGTCATGTTCACGTTCTTCATTGAACAAGGGGAGGCCAAAGTGTTGGGCAAACTCCCGCTTGGTCAATGAACGGTTCTCATTCAACAAACGAAATGTGATTCTACTTGCAGCATGATCATCAACATTTGCTATTTGCTTAAATGAGATAAAGAATTCATACACCAAATGTGGATAGGTAACATATTGCATCTCAAATACCCTAAGCATCCCAATGTTTGTGAAAATCTCATGCATAATCGCATCAAGCATGAATGATACTAGCATAGTA